TGAGTGGACGGGGAAGCATTTATCATGCAAATGGTTGTGAAGAGAAAGAAAGTGGGGGTAGGAATCCTTACATGAGACAAAACAGACTTGAAAACAAAGACTGCACAGAAGACACAGGAGGACACTTTAATAATAAAAGAGACCCTCTAACCAGAAGATAAAACAATTGTACATACTTATGCATCCAGCAGCTCTCTGGAGTGTCCTTTCTAATCCCACTCATGGGGGATCTACTCTCACGACCTAATCACCTCCCAAAGGCCTCACCGGCTCATACTCGGGGGTTGGGATTTCGACAGGAACTTGAGAGGGATACAGACAACTAGACCACGGCATTACTCATTGCTCTTTGTTATTTATTTGATTATCAGGTACTATTTCTTCAGTTATGACAAATCAGACCCTTTCAAAAAGGCTCTGGGGGTTCTTGACCGGAATAACTAGGAAGGACCCAGAGAATCCAGCTTCCCTGGTGGGGACCCAGGGATCCTTCCCTGCTTATCTCCTCGCTGGGTGAGCAGCGCCACACAGGTACTGCTGAGAACCCAGCTACTGTGTCCAGAAAGGGCGGGAAAGAGCCCCTGCTGCGCCCGGATCCTCTCCAGGACAGAAGGCTCCTCCGAGCCGAGCCGTGCGGCCCAGCCATCTCTTCTGAGCCAGTTCTGTGCCCCCTGGGGTGTCATTATGGGCAAAGAAATGCGTTCCTACCAGCACAGCAGTCTGGTCAGTGGGGCTGCATCCCCTTCTGTCCCCCCTCCAGGGCAGGGAGCCTGGAAGAGTGAAGAAGAGAGAATCGGGTGTAGACGCGGGGTCAGGAACCCGCTTGAGTCCCCACTGCGCGCGTTCATGCCAGCGCCGCGGAGCTCAAGGTGTGCGGGTCCCCGTGGAGCATCTTCTCTTTCAAGAGAAATAGGAGGCGTGCAGACAGGCAGGAGAGGGATTTCGGAGCCCTGGCAGCCGGATCCGTCCCAGACGGTCCACCTGGGAACCGCTCACTCAGAGAATGCGGCCTAAGACCAATGCCAACTCCGGGGGCAGTTCTCGGAGTTCACATCATGCCGGAGGTTAGCGCCACGGTAGCGTGGATGGCAGTTTCGAGATCCCTAAGTAGCTACGTGTAGTGTTTTCCATAAAGATCTACTGTTTGTTTCAGCTGCTTACAGAAGAGAGACGTACACATTCCTTTTGTCATGAATGATCTAGAATGCGGCGTGTCTGCCCCTTGGGGTAGAGAGGTACACGCCGAGGGAGAAGCTATTGTTTCTCAGACATATGAGTATTTCTCCTCAATCCAGGAAATTCATACGCACCTACTACGTACCATAAACCGTGTCAGGTGCTGCCAGGACACAAATAAGAAGAGGATTTAATCGTTGTCTCAGAGGAGTTTTCGGTGTACTGAGGGCCTATGCATCACCTGCTGCTACAGTCACGCTCAGGCTCGGCGTCCTGGGCATCAGGGGACCCCACCGTTGGTTGGCCTGAGCTCTAAGCCGCAGGTGTCAGCCGGCTCTGCATTCCCCGTGGGCGCCTCACCACCCTAAGGTCAGCGAACTAGCCGGGCATGTTCTTCGCCTTGGGCATGTCACATGTCCTAAGCAGGTCACTGGCCAGAGCAAGCCACGAGGCCAAGCCCATCATCGCTGCACGGAGCAAATCTGCCGTCCCTGCCAGGAAGCCCAGAGTCACCTGAGAAAGATGTGGATATTGAGAAAAATAACACAGTCAAGCACATTAGGGAAAGATAAATTCACAGCTGCCTAATAACAGAGGATGGGGATTTCAGTAGGGGAGGGATTAGTTCTATCTCAAAGACATTAAGAAAATATTCTCAGAGGAGGTGGCGTTTGCACTTAGGGCTTCTATTTCAACAGGCGGACAAGACGGGGCGGCGGGGCAGGGGGGCTGCGTGGGGTGCGGCAGAGAAACAGTAATTCAGAGATGATCCCGGCGCAAAGTCATGGACACTGTAGGACATGTTCAGTGTTAGGTTATAAAGAAGCAAACTGAAAGAAAACATTGTAACAACAGAACAAGTATTCCAGTAAGAAAACTACAAATAGACACTCGGTGGAGACCCCAGTGTCAGGAGTTGTTGTGATGTATGTTGTTACTGGAAGCCCTGTGGGGGGGGGGGGGGGGACGAGTGTTTGAGAATTCCCCAAGTCTGACATGTGGAAAAGCACAGGAGGATAGAATTTTTGTTTAAGTCTTTAGAGCTGTAATTAGAGCTAGAAATGACTTAGAAATCATCTAACCCAGATCACTTATTTCTTATTACACAGATTAAGAAACTTGTGTTTTGGAGATAAGTTTTGCCTGTGGGTGTGTGTGTGTGTGTGTGAGAGAGAGAGAGAGAGAGAGAGAGAGAGAGAGAGAAATATAAACATAGAGTGAGAGAATAAATGTCATCTTAAAGAAATCTATCCATCTATATACATAAAGTATATGACAAATATATTTATATAGAAAATACATTATTTCAGATAGATACAGATATCAAGGTGGGGCACATGAAATGAGCACACTTTTTTAAAAAGATTTTATTATTTATTTATTTATTTATTTATTTATTTATTTATTTATTTACTTACTTACTTATTTATTCATGAGATGCAGAGAGAGAGAGAGAGAGGCAGAGACACAGGCAGAGGGAGAAGCAGGCTCCATGCACGGAGCCTGATGTGGGACTGGATCCTGGGACCCCGGGGTCATGCCCTGGGCCGAAGGCAGATGCCCCACCGCTGAGCCCCCGGGTGCCCCTGAGCACACTTCCTGGAATGGCACTCTAAAGACTACCTGTATCCCCACTACCTGGTCTTTCTTATTTCAAAGAATAGAATGCGAATCACGTCACTCAAATGTGAGGGAGAGGGGGATCCCTGGGTGGCTCAGTGGTTTAACACCTGCCTTTGGCCCAGGGCGCTATCCTGGAGGCCCCAGGATCGAGTCCCGCATCGGGCTCTGGCATGGAGCCTGCTTCTCCCTCCTCCTGTGTCTCTGCCTCTCTCTCTCTCTCTCTCTCTCTCTCTCTCTCTCTCTCTCTCTCTGCCTATCATGAATAAATAAATAAAATCATTAAAAAAAAATGTGAGGGAGAGAGCATTGCGAGGAAGGAGGGAGAACATACGCCCCGCATATTGAAGGCCTGGAAATACCAGCCCAAGTGCCTGCTCTCGAGGTGGAAGCGGGTTGGCTCCGAGGGCAGAGGCTGGGGTGCAGTGATCAGAAGAAGAGAGGCTGGACGGGAGGGGCAGCGGCCCAAGGACGCAGGACTCCCCAGAGCCAGGCCGGGCCTCTCCCCTGGACTCACTCCTTCATTGGTAAATGCGACATGATTACCTGCCTCCCCAAAATGTAATAAGGAAAGGAAGAGAGTTCATGTTCATCATATGGGAGGGTTCCTCCCGGAATAGCGCTCCTGAAACTGGGCCTCGCCCTTCTAGTAACCGGCACCAGGGCAGGTCAGAGGTCACCACTGTGGCCCTGGCCCTGCAGCTGGCCTTGGTTCCTGAACCGGGTCTTAGGCCCAGGGTTCCCGCTGCAGCACAGGGCGCAGTTCCTTTTTGGCGTGGGACACAGCTGTAGCTCCTGGTGCTGCGACGTCCCGGTAGCAGGGTGGCCTGTCTGCGGGGTGGGTGGGCCGAGGCCTCTGGTGGGTGGGCCACGTGGGTGGGCCAAGCACCCGGGGCCACCTAACTGTAGGGCAGGTGGGTGGGCTGAGCTCCTGGCCCGACCGTGGGCAGGTGCGTGGGCTGAGCTCCCAGGTCTGCGAGCAGGTGGGTGGGCTGAGCTCCTGGGCCCATCCGTGAGCAGGTGCATGGGCCGGGCTCCTGGGCAGGTTGCGGGGCAGGTGCGTGGGCTGAGCTCCCGGGCCCCTCTGTGAGCAGGTGCATGGACCGAGCTCCCAGGCCCGTCTGCGGGCAGGTGCATGGCCAAGCTCCTGTCCTGTCTGTGGGCAGGTGCATGGCCCGAGCTCCCAGGCTGTCCATGGGGCAGGTGCATGGACTGAGCTCCTGGGCAGGTTGTGGGGCAGGTGCAGGCTGAGCTCCTGTCCTGTCTGCGGGCAGGGGCATGGCCCAAGCTCCCAGGCCCGTCCGTGAGCAGGTGCATGGCCCGAGCTCCTGGGTCTGCAGGCAGGTGCATGGCCCGAGCTCCCAGGCTCGTCTGCAGGCAGGTGCATGGCCCGAGCTCCCGTCTCCACGGGCAGGTGCGTGGCCCGAGCTCCCGGGTCTGCAGGCAGGTGCATGGCCCGAGCTCCTGGGCCCGTCTGCAGGCAGGTGCATGGCCCGAGCTCCCGTCTCCACGGGCAGGTGCGTGGCCCGAGCTCCCGGGTCTGCAGGCAGGTGCATGGCCCGAGCTCCTGGGCCCGTCTGCAGGCAGGTGCATGGCCCGAGCTCCCATCTCCACGGGCAGGTGCATGGCCCGAGCTCCCGTCTCCACGGGCAGGTGCATGGCCCGAGCTCCCGTCTCCACGGGCAGGTGCATGGCCCGAGCTCCCGTCTCCACGGGCAGGTGCGTGGCCCGAGCTCCCGTCTCCACGGGCAGGTGCGTGGCCCGAGCTCCCGTCTCCACGGGCAGGTGCATGGCCCGAGCTCCCGTCTCCACGGGCAGGTGCATGGCCCGAGCTCCCGGGTCTGCAGGCAGGTGCATGGCCCGAGCTCCCAGGCCCGTCTGCAGGCAGGTGCATATGGGCTGAGCTCCCGGGTCTGTAGGCAGGTGCGTGGCCTGAGCTCCTGGGCCCGTCTGCAGGCAGGTGCATGGCCCGAGCTCCCGTCTCCACGGGCAGGTGCATGGCCCGAGCTCCGGTCTCCACGGGCAGGTGCGTGGCCCGAGCTCCCGTCTCCGCGGGCAGGTGCGTGGCCCGAGCTCCCGGGTCTGCAGGCAGGTGCACGCCCCAGCTCCCCGCCCGTCCGCAGGGTGTGTCCCGCGCCCCCGCCCCCCCCCCCGCCGCCGCCGCCGCCTGCGCCCCTAACCCTGTGCTCTCTGCCCGTTGCCAGACTCCGACCTGAGCATGCGCACCCTGAGCACGCCCAGCCCGGCCCTCAGCTGCGCCCCCGGCGCGCCCGGCGGCTGCCAGAACGGAAGGGGCTCGTCCACGTCGTCGTCGTCCGTCGCCGGCGAGACCGTGGCCCTGGTGCACGCGCCGCCGCCGCCGCCGCGCCTCGCGCACCCGCTCATCCGCCTGGCGGCGCGGCCGCAGCGCGAGCAGGCGCGCGTGGAGCGGCTCCCGGACGCCTGCCTGGTGCGCGTCTTCTCCTTCCTGCGCACCGACCAGCTGTGCCGCTGCGCGCGCGTGTGCCGCCGCTGGTACAACGTGGCCTGGGACCCGCGCCTCTGGAGGGCCATCCGCCTGGCGGGCGCCGGGCTGCACGCGGACCGCGCGCTGCGGGTGCTCACGCGCCGCCTGTGCCAGGACACGCCCAACGTGTGCCTGCTGCTGGAGACGGTGGCGGTGCGCGGCTGCCGGCGGCTCACGGACCGCGGGCTCTACGCGCTGGCGCAGTGCTGCCCCGAGCTGCGGCGCCTCGAGGTCGCGGGCTGCCAGGGCATCTCCAACGAGGCCGTCGTGCACGTCGTGTCCCTGTGCCCCAACCTGGAGCACCTGGACGTGTCGGGTAAGTGGCGGCCGCCGCGCGGCCCCGCGGGGGTGGGGGGTGGGGGGGCGGGGGGGGCGGGACGCGGGGCCCGGACCCGGGACCCGGACCCAGGACGCAGGACGCAGGATGCGGGGCCCGGACCCAGGACCCAGGACCCCAGGACCCAGGACGCAGGGCCCGCTGCACCCCCGCCCCGCTGGCCGGGCCCACAGAGGATGGGGGGTGGAGGGGGTACAAGGGAAGGGAGGGGGAGGGAGGGGCGTTCCAGAGAGGCGGCCCCAGGACCCCAGGACCCCAGGACCCAGGACGCAGGGCCCGCTGCACCCCCGCCCCGCTGGCCGGGGCCTGGGCCCGCGGAGAGGGGAGGGAGACGGGGACGGCGGGCAGGGGGCAGGAGGGGCGCTCCAGAGAGGCCGCCCCAGGACCCCAGGACCCCAGGACCCAGGACGCAGGGCCCGCTGCACCCCCGCCCCGCTGGCCGGGGCCTGGGCCCGCGGAGAGGGGAGGGAGACGGGGACGGCGGGCAGGGGGCAGGAGGGGCGCTCCAGAGAGGCCGCCCCAGGACCCCAGGACCCCAGGACCCAGGACGCAGGGCCCGCTGCACCCCCGCCCCCCGCCCCGCTGGCCGGGCCCACAGAGGATGGGGGGTGGAGGGGGTACAAGGGAAGGGAGGGGGAGGGAGGGGCGTTCCAGAGAGGCGGCCCCAGGACCCAGGACCTACTGCGCCCCCGCCCTGCTGGCCGGGGCCTGGGTCCCCGGGTGGGGAGGGGGGGTAGATGGACCCAGGACCCAAGACCCGCTGCACCCCCACCCTGCTGGCCCGGCCCACGGGGAATGGGGGGGTGGAGGGGGGACGGGGTACAGGGGAAGGGAAGGGGTGGGGGGCACTCCGGATAGGCAGCCCCAGGCCCCCAGGCCCCAGGCCCCACAGCGCCCTCACCCCATGAAGCCATCATCCTCAGAGCACCAAGGGCACCTGCTTGTGGCCCGACGCGTGGGCCCAGCGGCCGCAGAACCCCGGGCAGCCACACAGGTCCCCCGGCTTCCTGGGCCCCACGCACCTGTGTGTACCAGCGGCTGTGCCCGGGCGAAGGCTCCTGCGTCTGGCTCCTGCACCCCGTGCTCGGCAACACCGGGCACACACCCCTCGCAGCCCACTCAACATATATTCCGCCTTGGGTCGAGTTGGGATTTTTTTTTTTTTTAGATTTATTTATTTATTCTTGAGTGACACAGAGAAAGAGAGAGGCAGAGAGACACAGGCAGAGGGAGAAGCAGGCTCCGTGCAGGGAGCGCGTCGTGGGACTCGATCCCAGGACCCGGGGTCACGCCCTGGGCCCAAAGCAGCGCTAAACCGCTGAACCCCCAGGCGCCCTTGGGATCTTTTTTGAAGCAGCATCCTCAATTACCTGGTGCAAGGACAAGGCCCATCGCGGGAGCCCGTAGATGTTTGTAAACCTGCCTCGGGCAAGAAGGACTAAACTCACGCTTGGGCGCCAGACGCGGGTCCAGCGGCCTAGCAGCCTGCCTGTACCTCACCCGCTGCCCCGTCAAGGACCAGCACATCCGAGAGGCCGACACGTGTGAGATGCTGCGGGGAGTTATTCAAGAGCCCACAGCGTGAGCCGCAACCTCGGGGACGGCCGGGGAGGGGTCAAGAAGTACAAACCGCCGTGACAGGCAACTAAACAGAATCTGGGGTTGACAAGCAGCGGCGGGAACTGATGGCCTCCAACCAACCCCGAAGGCGGAGTCCGCTCTCCCAGCTTGCTCTCTCTCTTTCAAAAGCCGACGTCCGAAAATATTTCCGATGACAGTTACTTATTGCAAAGCAACTAGTTTCTCCCCGGCTTCAGCTGGCTTCGGGACAAAACCACAGTGACCGGCCGTTCCGTTAGTCAGGGGCCACCGCTGGCATAGAGAGGCAGGAAACAAAGAGGTTTTCTTTTGTTTTTTCCCTAAGGAGTTCTGGAAGCAAAGCATTGTGATGTGGCCCGAGACTAGTTTCAAGACTTTGTGATTTGGGACAGTTCACAGCTTTCTCTGGATGTGCTTCCTCTTCAGTTTAAAAAAAAACAAAAACAAAAACAAAACAAAAGGCAAGGAATTGGATTCGTAAACATTCCAAGATTCTGAGCACCGTGGGCCTATTCTTCAGACACCTCATTTCCTTGTCTTTTCGAAAATCAGATTAGAAAGTGACTTGTGCTTGGCATCTCCGTCCTTGTTAAGGGACCTCCCTGAGCACGGCGGGTACTGGCTTCAAGTACCCCGTCCTGTTCTCCTGGAGCCCTTTTGAATTCAGAAATGTGGAAAGCACGTTGGGAATGGAAATTCCTGGGCTTCCGGCCCCAGTGAGGGGATGGAGCGAGGCCGAAGCCTAGTGTCCTTCCTCTACATCCCCCGAATCTGCAGGGCCTGATCTATTTGTTTTTTGCTCACAGGCCTCTCGGGGACCTGCTGTGACCTGTGTAGAGACTGTGTACACAAGGAAACCTCTGACTCACCAAGCTAAGAGCACAGGATTCCAGAGATGGGGGGAGAAGGGGCAGGATTTTCCAAATGGTGCCCTCCAGTTCTGAGAGAGTCTGGAAGGAGTAAGCTGGTCCTGGGAGAAGCCAGAGGGCTGCCAGAGGTGATCCCACCTAGGCCTTACCTTACCCCCTTGGTGTCCAAGCTGGCAGGAAACTTGACTTCGGATGATTCGTGGCTGCTCAGGAGCTTAATTCCCCCGGAGGACGTGAGACTGCCTCCCTTGTGCCCGCGGTGCTCACCTGGAAAGCTGTCTTTTCGAGTCATTGAAACACTATAACTAGCTGTAGGGTTTTGTCATCACATAGTATCTCTTATTGATATTTAGCTCAGTTTCTTCAAAGAAGCAGAACCGTGTGTGTCTCTGTGCGTGTGCACGCCCGTGTGTGTAAAGAGATTTATCTGCCATCTGCAAGCTGGAAACTCTGGGAAGCTGGCAGTGCAGTTCGGTCCAAGTCTCAAGGCCTGAGAACCAGGGCTGCTGATGGTGTAAGTCTCAGTTCGAGGGCAGGAGAAGACGAATGCATCAGCTCGAGCAGTCAAGCAGAGAAAGAATTCTCCGTTCCTCCACCTTTCGGTCTAGTCAGGCCCTCACTGGATTGGAGGGTGCCCATCCACATTGAGGAAGGCGTCTGCTTGATGGAGTCCACTGATTCAGATGTTAATCTTACCCAGAAACAGGCTCACAGGTACCCCCAGAAATGTTTAGCCAATGTCTTAGCGCATCATCATCTACTCGAGTTGACACATAAAATCAAAATATATCACAAGTAACAATATCTTTAAACATCAACGAAACACGGCAAAGCCAACTAATTTTCAAAGTGTAAAATGGTGTAATTATCACAAATGAAATTGCTTCAAAGGCTGGACATGGGGCAGCCTGGGTGGCTCAGCGGTTTAGCGCCGCCTGCAGCCCGGGGCGTGATCCTAGAGACCCGGGATCGAGTCCCACATCGGGCTCCCCGCATGGAGCCTGCTTCTCCCTCTGCCTGTGTCTCTGCCTCTCTCTCTCTCTCTCTCTCTCTCTCTCTCATGAATAAATAAATAAAATCTTTTTTCTTAATAAATAAAATCTTTAAAGAAATTATTGATGTAAAATAATATGAACATATCCATATAGTGTCTTTACCAAAACTGACCTTAATCAGTGTTTCCTTAAAACAGGGGCTCAGTTTCAAAAACAAGGCATCTGTTTCCCCAAACCAAACGTAATGTCCTTACCGGAGTGCATCGGATTTTACTAGATATTTTTAAAGAGACAGAGAGAGAGAGAGAGAGAGAAAAAACAGAACCAAGAGTTTAGGAACAAAGGTTGTCCTAGGATCTTGAGAAACAAAGTCCCTTCCCAGTGCCCATCGCAAGTGGGCAGCCGTGACCGTGAACACACAAATTCAGCATAAGCAGGATTACAGCCGCTCTAAGAAAAGAAATTCCAAGCAAAGGAAGATTTCAGAGTTAAAAGTTGCGGGGTACCATCCGACTTCTGCAAAACCACAGAGGCTACTGGGCGGAGCAGAGGGCCGGCCTCTGACGAGCCCCATCTTTGTTCTCCAGCACGGGATTGTACGCTTTACTCTTTCCTGAAATTCTTTGACTTGGTAGCACTTGGCCCTTGAACCTCATTATTCCCAGGACCTGAAGTTTATAAGAGTTTCCTGGGCAGGCTGCCAGGAGGTGGGCGGAAAGTCCCCATTAGCACTATTAGGTCGCCACTCGGGAGCCCTGGGTGTTGCCCGAGCAGCCGGGGCTCGGAGGTGCCTGAGGTGAAGCACCTGGCTTTGGAGCTGCCACAAGGATTCCGGAAGAGCACGGAGAAAAGGGAAAACGATACATACGGTTTATGTAGTGGGATGAAAGGGAGGGACGTGCCTATATTATATATTTATTTATATTCTACATCGACATCCTAATATTTCAGTTTACACAACTAAGAATCGACGGCGCCTGTGTTCCGTGGTGATATACCGTGAACGGAAATACACCTTGGAACGCGTGTTTCCTGTGTGATTGTCTATGTGACATACAATGTGTCATTTGTGCACACATTCGTAGGGGAAGAGTGGCTAGAAATGGTGCTTAGAGAGACAGCTAAAGAGATCCTCCCATCATCTGAAAAAGGACGGAGTATTAGTTAAACGGGTTCTAGATCTCAACGACAACAAAAATCTTCCTAACCGTGAATTTCCTTATCAGTAAAACGGATTAAAAATCAGGTGAGAAATTATTTATGAAAAAAAAAGAGATTATTTATGAGACCGTTCTGTAAACTTCATGATTCAACGCAAATAAAAGACATTGTAATTAAGTATAAAACACACTGTTTCATAGTCTAAATATGCATCAGCCATGGTCAAAGTCCTGAGGACGTTTAAACGTTGGAATTTAAATTATCCTGAGTGGGGCAAAATTAGCCCTGGATGAAGGTCTACAGGTATTCCCTAGAGGCTTATAGAGGCTTGATGGCCCAGGAGGTGAAATCATCTGTATTTTGCAGGTACTTACGTAATGAGAGAAACCGCCTCCCTCCCTGCCCCCCCACATTTGCCCGCCGGGGGCGAGGTCGGGGTGGGTGCCCCCGTGTGCCGGGCACGCTTCCTGCCTAATTGGCATCTGCCGAAGACATCTGTGGTACGAAAGCACGGCCTGAGGGGAAGGGGAGGGCAGTGTCACCCGCTGAAGGCCTGTGTGTCCCCGAGGTCCCTACGCTGGAGCCCTAGCCGTCCATGTGATGATGTCAGGACGAGGGACCCCGGGAGTACTTAGGGTGAGGTGACGGGATGAGTGCCTGTGCAAGAGCCGCCAGCTCGCCCTCCGCCCACGTGTGAGCGGGTCCCACACCTTCCTGCACGGAGCAGACACCTGGCGAGCAGCGGCGAACCCGGGGAGGGATGCGGCAGGGGGCAGCCCGGTCCCCCAGCCCCAGAGTGAGCACAGCAAATCCCTGAGCGGACAAACGACAGGGTGAGGAAGGGCGCTGAACAGAAGTAGGAGTTCATGCAGGGCCCTTGGGAAGAAGTGTCCAGGCAAGTGACACACGCTGGGACCCGAGAAAGCGGGGCTGGCCCGCGGGGCTACCTGAGGAAGTGTCCAGGCCACCGGCACTGGGGCAGAGGGGCAGCTGCGGGGTCTGGGCGCCAGCAGGGAGGCCAGCGTGGTCCGCCGGGGCGGGGTAGAGGGCTGTTGAGAGGTGGGGTCCTTGGAGGCCCCCCTGGGCGGTGGGGGTGGCATGGTCGGAGGTCTGTTCTCCAGAGTCCCCGAGCAGCTGAGCATAGCCGGTGGGAGCGCGGCCAGAGAGGCCGGTTGGGGGGCTGGAGCCATCACCGAGTGACACTCATTCTTCCTTGAGCAAAGAGAGGTGCCTGGAGTCCCCAGGCGGCTGGCCCGGGTTGAGGTAATGATTAGGTGTCTTCCCGCTGGGGTCCCCCCAGGACCTCTGTCGCTGCCACTTCGCGCACCCCAGCGCTGTCTCTAAGGTGCGGGCGCCCCAGCTCCTCACGCCCATTGCATAGACGGGAGCCCCCGCCCGAGGCCATAAGGAGGACACCTGGACCGGGGGTGACTGCCGCGTGCCCTCTGTGCCAAGCAGGATCACAGCCAGGTCGTGGGCAGCGTTTTGGCCACGGGGCCACCAGGCCATTGCAGGGGGACGGCGGGGCCTTACTGAGCCTTACTGAGCTTCCAGAGCTTCGCGGCCCAGGGCGACATGCTCAGGAGCATGGGTCCACTTACCCTTCACAGCGGCTTTGCAGGGACCTCAGGTCCCCGTGTTAGGACCAACGAGGGGCTCGGGAGTGCGAGCAGCCCAGGGCCAGGCAGCCAGTGGCGGACGAGGACTGGAGCCGCGGCCTTTTGATCCTAAAGCCGGGGATGCGTCTTGAGCCCGGATGACCGAGTAGCCCCGTGGTCAGAGGAGCGCGGAGGCCCGGCTGTCGCTGTCGCTGTCCGCAGGGTCAGGCAGGGGCCAGGCCGGGGCCGCGCTGGGCGGGTCGGCCTGGTGCTCCAGGGGTCTCTGAGCCTGTGCTCCGTCTCTCCGCGCAGGGTGCTCCAAGGTGACCTGCATCAGCCTGACCCGGGAGGCCTCCATCCAGCTGTCGCCCTTGCACGGCAAGCAGATTTCCATCCGCTACCTGGACATGACGGACTGCTTCGCGCTGGAGGACGAGGGCCTGCACACCATCGCGGCGCACTGCACGCGGCTGACCCACCTGTACCTGCGCCGCTGCGCGCGCCTCACCGACGAGGGCCTGCGCTACCTGGTGATCTACTGCAGCTCCCTCCGCGAGCTGAGCGTCAGCGACTGCCGCTGCATCAGCGACTTCGGCCTGCGGGAGATCGCCAAGCTGGAGGCGCGCCTGCGGTACCTGAGCATCGCGCACTGTGGCCGGGTCACCGACGTGGGCATCCGCTACGTGGCCAGGTACTGCGGCAAGCTGCGCTACCTCAACGCGCGGGGCTGCGAGGGCATCACGGACCACGGCGTGGAGTACCTGGCCAAGCACTGCGCCAGGCTCAAGTCCCTGGACATCGGCAAGTGCCCGCTGGTGTCCGACTCGGGCCTCGAGTGCCTGGCCCTGAACTGCTTCAACCTCAAGCGGCTCAGCCTCAAGTCGTGCGAGAGCATCACGGGCCGGGGCCTGCAGATCGTGGCGGCCAACTGCTTCGACCTGCAGATGCTCAACGTGCAGGACTGCGACGTGTCCGTGGAGGCGCTGCGCTTCGTGAAGCGCCACTGCAGGCGCTGTGTCATCGAGCACAGCAACCCCGCCTTCTGCTGAAGGCCCCGCGAGGACAGGGGCCGCGGGGGCCCCGAGGCCTTTCCTCCTCCCAAGGGGCGCCTGGGGCCTCCTGTCTCAGGAGCCCCCGGGGGCGCCCCCTCCCCAGGCCGCCCGGCCAACAGCCGCAGCCACACACCCTCCGCAGATGCTCCCCTGACCCCCCACCCCCGCCCCTCGGCCCCGGGTTGGCCTAAGCCCCACGCACCAGTCCCCGGCCCGGGCAGATTCTCGGTGAATAAATGTAGACAGAGCGCCTCCAGCCCTCTTCTAAAGAATCACTAGTGGCAGGCCCGCCGTGCAGGAGGAGGCCCCGCCACCACCGGCCGGTGACCTGGGGCACAGGCCTGCCCTCGCTGGGCCGCGGCCTCGGGCGCTGAATCAGAGGCCATCCAGCTCCAGGATCCGCGTCGTACCTGGTCCAGAAAGGACACATGGGGCGCAGGTAAGCAGAAGCGCCCCGGCACACGGCATATGAGGCATCTACCTCGTCCACGAATACTGGTTCTGCGGGTGCTCCGGGGACACTCACGCGCGCCAGCCTGAGGGTCCTCTGCGCCCTCCGCTCCCACCGGAATGTCACTCTAAGCCCGTTTGTTTTGGTGGGTGAGTCTCCCGGGCCCCTCCTCCTGCCCTGCTGGCTGGATGGCTCCTGTGACAAGTGCTTCCCGCGTCACCCCCCGCCCCCTCCGCACGCACACGCACACACACACGCACACATGCCATCTTATGGAAGAAAAGGATTTCCTGCTCACAGCAAAGCCCACGTCCCCAGTCAGGCTGACGTTGCTGAATGTTCTCAGATAGGAAGCAAGACCCTCATGATTCCTAATTGCCGAGTGAGGCCCGAGAGGACACGTCTTCGGAGGTTTTCCCGGTCCCTTCTAGTGTTCACGTGGCATGCGTCAGGCACACGTGCCCTGCAGCTGGCAGGAACAGCCATGTCGGTTCTTTGTCATGCAGCTCACACTTCCACTTTGCTCGTCTATTTATTTCTCTGTGCATCCAGACTTCATCCCGTGAAGCCCGTGGGCCTAAGCCCTGAGCGTTCAGCTGCGCGGGTTGCCGCCTTCGCCGGCGCCTGTCCGCGTGTTCTCTGTCAAAGGAAGCACAGCGGACTTGCAGGTGTTTAAGTACTGTTCACTCAAAAATGTCAGGCAAACGGAAGAAGGAGCACATTGGTGACACTCGGGCGCTGGTGCGCTAGCCAGGCCCTTGGAATAGAACATTAAAATCGTTGCCAAGCACACATCCTAAATGGCCCTATTTGGATGGAAAGCCACTTGCTGGCCTCATTCGCATGAAGTCAGGATGCCAGAGGAAAGCCCACGGCTCATTTTCATGACCATGCAGTTGCCTTTTGTTAGTAAACCCAGGACTGTGCCCACATGTTCTCTAGCCACACCTCTCCCTCATCCCTGCTGTTCCGTCATCCGCTTCTTTCTCAAAGGGTCCACCATCCAAACCCAGAACCTCCGCATCTCCAAGCTAAGGATGTGGGATTCGTTTCAGATCAAGCTCACACACAGCTCGACAACTGCACTCCCACTGTAGGCTCCCTGCGGTCTGGTTTTTTTTTTTGTTTGTTTGTTTTTTTTTGTCTCATGTCGGGAAGGAGGAGATAGAGTGAGGTGGCATCTGCCCAGAAGTTTTCTTCCACGCGTCACGTGACGTATGGCCTCCTCTCCAGTCAACATCGTCAGCAACTTAGTGTGCAATCAAGACCCTGTGCCACGGGGGCTGGGGGTGAATTGCTTGGCTGGGAAGAGCGTCTAGGGATAGTCACAGGGTTTAGAGCCATGAAAGAGGTTGAATGTCGCATCCCCATCTCTGTGACTTGTGACCGGGTCTGACGTTTTAGGATTTTATGAGTCGCAAGGATTGTCCCTAGCCCAGGCACCGGGGTCTTCCAAGTGGCATATGTTAATGCCCCCAGAATGAGGAGAGAGATCCAAAACGGCGCCCTGAGCCAGGGAACGGGGTGTCCCACCGTCTCCCGACCACATCACCTAACCAGCCTTCCAAACATGAGACAAAGCTGACTTTCGCACTCACTGCCCAGCACATGCTGCCCCTCCCAGTCTCTCCCTTTCCCCCAGTCTTCTTTTCATCCACTCTGCCCCCACTTGGGATATGAATCTATGGCAGAAGTCACTGGGGAAGCAGCTCAGCAGATTCTTAGAGACCAAGAAAAAGGCCTCACTAGGAAATTTATCTGTTTTAAAACATTGCTTCCTTCCTGCCTCTGCGAAATTGAATGCTCATTGTTTTTTTTTTTTATTTCTAATGTTCAATCACTGCGTGCTGTATGACTCTAGAAAGCCTTAATTTACTACCACCAAGAAATAAAGCAATATGTTGGTAATTGGGTTAAGTCTCATTTAATACCCTGGCTGGAAGAGCACGGTGTTCAGATGGGGACACTCAAGGGCGAGCCAGAAACGCATCTTCTGCTGAAGTAGAGAGCAAGCCGGGCCCGTGCGTCTCTTGTCCCTTTAAAGCTGCAGCCACGATTTTGTCGTTTCCCTGGGCTCGGTGATTTGGGCTGAAAAGTAACAGGTGAGTGAAAAATCGTTAGCTTCACAGTTCAGCTCAGGTCTTGGATTCCTTAGCCCAAAGTCTTGGAGCCACACGTATTTTGGAATTCGTAATTTTTTATATTTTAGGAAGTTAGCTGTGGTGTATTTCGTAATACCCCGGCAGAGTCTATAGGACGGCCCCTTAGTCACACACGTTAGATTTCTGCAGGAATCGCTGCGGATAGCCGTACTATGTAAGATCATTGCAGACTACAAATAGCCTTGCGCCCATTCAGATTTTGTCACCAAGTTAATTTGTGCCAAACATAATGAAAAAAAGGCTTCTATTTCTTCAGAGCTCTCCAGATTTCAGAATTATGAGTAAGTAACCGTGGACCTGAAAGTACTTCCCCTGGCACTGGTGCAGACATCGGAGTCATCGTCAAAATCGTGCCATTGGTTGTTACACATTTTTTAAAAGGTCTTAGAGCATCAAAACCTAGAGGGGCAACACGGCAACTTGATCTAAAAGGAAAAATTATCATTCAGTTGGAAAAAAAGAAATGCCAAAGATCTACTCACCCCAGCCCTTAGATCTGAGAAATCAATGTGGCAGAAAGCAAGTACTGATGGGTGCGTGGCTCGCTCCAGCTGTAGCAAGTAAGAAGGTTTTAAGAGATCTTGATTTTAAATGTATTTGCCCTCAACCTTCTCCACATCCTACGTCAGCCGCCTAACGAGCGTCGCATTAGCCAACAGGGCAGCGAGCGGCCTGGGAACACTAACTTGGGGTAGCGCCATGCAGTTCTTGCCGGGATCCCAGGAGAAGCTAGCAGCAAGTAAAATGCATTTATCTTGGACTTCTTAAGTCGACATTTGTTCAGAATTAGAAAAAGTCGTCAAGAAATCTGATACCCAAGACCATGCAACATGAACCCAAACAGATTGGGCCCTTTTAAGAGGAAAAGTAATACTAGAAAAATTGCTTCCCGCTCCTCCGTGTTCACAGAGAAGCCACCCAAGGTCGTGCATTTGTTCAATAGCCGGCAATCACGATTAGCTAAGAGAGACGTTAATTTGAAGAAATGCTGACTCGACAGTCGGGGAGGAAGAGAGCGTATTTAGAGACTTGGTAAAGCCTGCGGTGAAACCGTGCACACAGACAACTGTGAGACGAAGCTGGTTTTGACTCTTGCGTTGCTGTTGGTCAAATGGTTTCTTCTTCCTGATCCATTCAGCAGCCCCGTCCTTACTGTGGCAGGAGGGGGAGGTGCCGCGGGGAGGGACGCGCCTGCCATCATCTGCAGTGGAGGCTGATGCCGTCGTTGAGGCTCCCCAAACACAGTTCCAGGTGCCCAGAGAGCAGCTCGGGCAGTTTCGTGAAGATGACCCCCAGGTGGGCAGAGCTGTTCACCTGGGGGAAGCAGTAAACTCTCCCGGACACTCGGGACAGCCCATCCAGGCATGTACTTAGGATGTGACTATTCCATCTTTTTTCTCTGAGTGCACCATTATCTCCTAAAGCCACAGATCCATTGTGTAGAGCCTTTTTCCCCTCTTCAAGCCACCTGGCATCTGCTAAAACCACGCGGGATGAAAGAACATCTCCATTTGGAAGCTGGAGGCGGCTCAACCGCTGCCTGTCACCACCCTGTGGCATCTCCCGCAGAGCTACCTGGATCGCAACAAGGATGTTGGCCTCGTGCACTACCCAGGAAGGCTCAATAAGCTCTAAACTGTTGCTCAGATGTTCGCTACCAGCATCAGCAGAAACCAGAATGGCCTTGAAGATCATAAAAAAAAAAAAAAAACTCTTGGCCTAAATATTTCCAAATCTAGTCGTTGCTATACTGCAGAATGTTTCTCTTTCCATCACTGAGCTACTGAATTTTACCCTGATGAGATCAGTATGTCTGAACTCTCTCCCGGCCCATGATGACCAACATATGATGGAGACTGGAAATTGAAGTCATTCTTCATGAACAAAGGATGCCCAGGGAACGCCAGTCATTTTCTTCCGAAGGAGCAACTCTCAACCCCTTTCACAAAGATTTATTGAGCGGTTACGGTGATAGCTTCCAGGGGGGAAAGAGAGACTATCCTTAGCCTAAGTGGTGTGTCAGGTCAAATACCTGTAATATCACAGAATGAGTTATAGAATGGGGAGAGGAGTTTAAAAAGCAGAGGCAACACCCTCTCACTCATTCATCTGACAAACACTCACTAAGGATCCAACATGTGCCAGACACTGTGGCGGCACCGAGTCTTTCCCGATGGAGTTTGCCCAGGAGGTCGTTTTCATCACCATATGGAAAGAGGAATAAAATTTAGGGGCTCCGGCCAGAGGACAAGACCCTTGAGCTGGATTTTATGACTCAGACAAGGGGCCGTCAGAGGCCACGGTGCCCTTGAACGTCCCTACGGGGAGCCGTCCCGGGGAGGCAGCATCGATGAGGCTCATAGAAGTCGTTGCCCTTTGCCGTAGGTTAGCGGCATCAGACGCCAACTATACGGACTACGGGCCAACTCTGGCGTTGCCTTGGGGTCTGCGTCCTCGGAAAGAGCAAGCTCTGCTCTGCTGTCCTCCCACAGACCGAGTCCTGTGCGCAGATACACACCTCCATGCGCACACGTACAATACCATAAGAGTGGGGATTTTCTGTGAAGACCACACTGAACCATAGTTTCTTGGACAAACCCTGAGGAAGCCCAAAGCAGCTTGACCGTCCTCCCGAACAGCAGGCGCGGTAACAGGTCAAGGTCGGCCACAGGCCTGTTTCTGCAGGATCCAGCCCTGCGGGAGGATCGACCCCCCCCCCCCCCCGGGCTGCTAGGACGCTCGGGCCCGCACGGCTGTCTTGTCGGAATAGTCGAGGTTTCCCAATTCTTTTTTTTAAAGATTTTATTTATTCATGAGAGACATGGCGGCGGGGGGTGGGGGGGCAGAAACACAGGCAGAGGGAGACGCAGGCTCCATGCGGGGAGCCTCACATGGGACTCGATCCCAGGACTCCAGGATCGCGCCCTGGGCCAAAGGCAGGTGCCAAACCGCTGAGCCACCCAGGGAGCCCGAGGTTTCCCAATTTATCCTGCCCCTCCGCTGCACACCAGCCTGGGCCAGTGATGTCAAAAACGCTGGAAGGCCCAAGGAGGGTTGAAAACGTCGCTGTTAAAATCGCCAAGAAATGGATTCGATTTGTAAACTCCCTGCGGACGGGTTCTCTGGAACCTCAAATAGCGTCAGGCTTGGGAATGTGAAATTATCTGCTGCAGTAACAAAAGACCGAGTGATGAAAGCCGTCACCTAGGAAGTGAGAGGGCGGCGGGAAGGCTCTTAATTTCTGTTTTGCTGCCGGGAGAGCAGTCCCGGTGTTCAGAGCCCCACGGCCTTGCAAAGCCTGGGAAGGCCTCCGAGGCCGCTTCCAGACGGGCATGCGACAGATCCGGGGGGAGGACCTCCAACTAGAGCCTCGCCGGGCATTGGCGCTTCCTTTGTCTCCCATCCTCCTCCACCACCAATGAACACAGACATTCTCTATAAATAAAAAAATTTTTTAAAGAAATTCCGGGTTTCGCATCATGAATGTTTTCTTCGTGGGCATTTACACTTGGAGTTTAAACGGCCTTTATCAAGGCCTTTTTCCTTTCTGAGAAAGTAGATAAAGGGACAAACTGTCACAAGTGATAAATCGGCTTCTTCGTTTTATCTCGAAGCCTTTCCTTTGGAGATGGAGACCGAAGCAGATATAATCGCCTGCATAGACTTGGACACTATCCGTGCTTCCAGGATAACCACACAGATGCGTTGGATTTCAACCGTAGATCTTTTCGTTTTGCAATCCCACCTCCAACCCTGGAGAAATGTGGCAAAAGCTGGGTTTTCGTGCTCCCTGGCCGCTTGGTCCAGCCCCTGAAGAGATCATCTTGTCTTAGCAGAAGACCCAGAGACGGAGAATTCGCACCATTTCTCCTGTTCTTGTTACAAGCCACACAGGCTGATTTACGACACAGGCTGATGTGCAGGAACGGCGTCTACGCCGCCAAGGCTTTCCATGAGCTGGTTGGATGTGGAGACTTCGGTTGGCTTTACATTCATAATTTTAAAATATCCAAAGAATAATGGCCATGGATGCCCGGGAAAGTTGGAGACCAAAAGGCTGCAGATTTAAAGAAAGAGAGAGAGAGAGAGACAGAAATAATGAATGACCTCTTGCCCAGTTAATGAAAACCAGAGTCTCCTCCAGATTTGCGAGCTGGCGCGGTTTCCCTGGGACCATCGCCTTGGGGCTCCTGCGTGTAATGTTTCTTTTAAAAATAGTGCACCCAGAAAGCGACGGGACACACAAGCCACGGGGGAGCCGGAGCCTCCCCTCCTTTTAGAATGTGCGCTTAACCCCAAATGCGTGTGGCCAGTAGTCCTGAGGGTGATCGGGTCACGTAGGGACCCCCCGTGCTTGCAACAAGGAAAGTCACATGGGCTTAGGTGCTATTTGGGTTTTTAGCTTCCCTCACACGAAATGCGTTGACCTTGCGCACGGCCAATAGCTCACTCTGGCCCCGAGAACTGACCTTTCTTCCCGGGTTTGGGACGACGCGTAGGACCGTGCCACCAGCTTCACAGCCAGGCTGCTCTCCAGGACTCAGGGGCTCCTGAGATCTGAGACCGTGGGGGGGCAGGGGTGACAGTCCCCTTTGCTGACACTCGGAAACCTTTGGTAATTCTGAGGGAGGTAGCAAAGGCAAATTTTAAGACTTTATAAAAGCTGACTATTTCTTGACTTCGGGTGGGACAAATTCCACAGCCGTCCCTCCTTGCCTGCAGCCCTGCCTGGTAAGTCTTCTCTGG